TATTACGTTAACTTCACCCACCCATACATCCATTAACCCTACTTGCAGAATTGTGATATAATCAAAAAAAGCAAAAGTGTTGTGTACAAGATGTTTATGTGTGTACAATGTATTCCTTCGGGACTCCACAGAAGTACTATCAAATGTTGTATCTTACGCCATTATAAATAAACGAAATTTTACCATGCCACTTAAGATCGACATTAATGATCAGGAAGACGTGTTATCGATCATGGCTGTGCGTGCCTGTTTGTTTCGACAAGCCGTTTGAATATTTAATAGCAACGAGGGGCGTTTCATGTGCACCGAGCAGACTACGATGAAGGTTTCAAAAAGCTGATAATCCTACGGGTTGTACAGCAATATTCATAGAAATAAAACCAATTTTAAAATGCACACTGTCATGATTTGTTTCAATAAGGGATCGAAAAACATCTGGCAAGGTAACCAACGGAAATAAATACTGTTACTCCACCTTAAGTACAAATGAATCAATATTCAGGAAACAGAGATTCAGATAAATATGTCAGGAATAAATTATGTTATGTTACTATAAAGCTGTTAAGAAAATTTAGGCAAGAAGTAAGCATCTCCATGGGCACCATTTGTGCTTCCCTCCTCACGGGTTTGTCTATTTATGCTCATGAATCGGTATTTCTGCTCGGAATGGCCATCAAAAGTCAAAATAGAATTTGCTCAAGACGTTTAACATGACATGAGACATGGGAGAGACATGAGGCTTTATTTCGGCTAGTGGCCCATAGTACAATAGTACAATTCTTCTTGGCACGGTGAGAGATTACATGATGTCAAAAATCACAGAGATACACTAGCTTGCGCAATAATCCCATAATGTATGGTATTAAGTTATAGATTGAGTCGACATAAATGTTGCATGTACCTTAAACAGGTGTAATAAACATGTAGCACTTCTTGGAACATGGTTAACATTGCCATTGTTCAATGTCAGAGTTAATTTAAACATATTCAAATTTTGGTATTCCCCTTCCTGAAGATACTTTAATCTGAGGTCAGTATACAATGGACAGACTGCAAATATATGGAGATCATCTAATATCAAACATAAATATTCCTGCAAACAATGTAAACAAGAACTCCGGTGGAATGCCTCTTCATCTACCAATTTCTGTCATCAATTTAAAATTACTACATCTAAACTTTGCAAAATACATTTTTAGTTCACTTCGGATATCACAATTCGGGTCACTTTTAACATTCTGAAAGACTTTTGAAATGGCAGTAAAATCTGTTACTAGAAGACATCCCGTATAACACATTTTGTTGTGCCACATCACTTAACCTTTGTTTAAAGAAAAACAAAAACATTTTGTCGTTAACTTAGCTTCAGATATATGTTTGATCTTATATCATTCAGTAATGGTCATTTGGACTTTCCCCTTCCACTGATTTACCCACCTGAATTTGAAATACCAGTGATACCGCCTCACCTGTTTCATATTTATATCTAAGCCTTAACGATTCCGAGTGACAATGAAGTATGCTGAAGGCTGTATGACAAGAGCGTCACACAACTTTTGCTCTAGTTTTGTTTGATACGGGTTACACAAGTGTTAGTAAAGCCTTCATTAAAGTTTATGGTAGATAAATCTATCTGGACAATGTGGACAATGTCCAAGTTTGACGAATCGGTAATCAAATTTATGTCTAATGCAATTGATTATTTTGACTTGTTCCATATGTTTCCGTGTGTGTTCAGGTGAACAATTGGCTTGCCTTTGCATGTGTTTGTGAAGGTGACACCCTTTTGGGCAGGAGACGCTCAACTTTTTCGAACACCTGGCATCATCACTATTTGATAGTGATTCATAATCAAATGCTTATGAAATAGTCTCATCAAATGTCGCTTTTCTTTGCAAGATGGTCTTTATTGTAAAATAGAATATGTTGCAAGATGTTGTTTGATTGTTGCTCGTCAAGTTGAAGACCCAGGTGTGATGGGAACACATGGGTACATTTTATAAAAACCCGCCTTGATAATGCTGAGCCAATACTGAAAGCGGTGATTTTTTTTCTACACCTGATCTTGGACCCTCCAAGTTAACATGTCACCAATAGTCACTAGTCGTCGTTAACACAAACATCCGATATCAACCTACCGTATTTCCTCTATTTGACACTACGCCGTCTATTAATTTCGCGAGAGCCCTTGACTCGGCGTGTATTAGAGACCTGGCTGGTATTAGAGACCCAGCGTGTATTAGAGGAAATATAGATATGTTTTACAGTTCATATGGGGGTGATCGGTCGGCAGCCATTTTCTATGAATCGATATGTAGGCTATCTATGAATTCATACGCACGTTTTTTGTGAAAAGGCTTAATATATTTGAAAGGGGTTTCCGTAGCAAACCAATCAGAATCAAGCATTCATACAATTTAAGACATTTTAAATTGATATCTGACAACTAAAATATTAGGAATTAAAAATATCTAAGAATTATATCAAACTGAAACAGACATAATTGAACTCAACTGTATGTGTCTAACCTCAAATGTTGGAACGATTTTCCGCAGTAAGATAGCGTTGAGAATAAGGATAAGGAGAGAGTGAGGACGTGGTGCACGTGTTTATGAAAACATGTTTGCGTGGACAGAAAAGGGTTATATTTATTCATATAATCACCTTTGTCGCTAAATAAGAACGAATTAGCAGCCTGGTACCAAATTTAACGTGATGCCAATCAACAAGCAATTTATACTTAACCAGGGCAACGTAGGGCAACTGTCCAGGCAATCGGAGTACATGAAACGCAATTATGCATTGTACTACCTACTTGTAATTTTAGAAGAATCGTGTGACAAGCGGGGAAAGGATATTTTCCCCTGAATCCCCGGTGGGTTGTCAACTGAGAGAATATGTGCCTGCAGAGGTGGCACATTACTGGACGGCTGACAGCGACTGTGTCAGTGCGCCACACTGCTGTCAACACGTGTGAGGGCGTGCCATCGCATCATCAGGGGTAATCAACGGTTACTTGACAAAGCAATGTGTGGAAAAATATCCATTCACAAAATCACTTTTCGTCATAACATGAACATCCTTCTCTAACATTTTTCTTTATATAACCCTTCTCTAAAATCGTTCAATTATAGGAGATTTAACTTCTCTAACCTCCTTGTCAACCTTTTTTTAACATCATTACCCAATATACGTCACAGGTTTGTCGTATCTAACCATTTTGATTTAATATACTTCTCTATCACTATCTATATCAGTCTTCTCTAATATACTTCTTTATCATTCTTCTAGTATACTTCTCCACCATCCATCTATATCATTCTCCTCTAATATACTTCACTATCATGCATATATAACATTCTCGTCTAATATACTTTTCTGTCATGCATACATAGCATTCTCCTCAAATATACTTCTCTATCATCCATCTGTATTATCCTTCTCTAATATACTTTTCTAACATCCACCTATATGATCCTTCTCTAATATACTTTTCTATCATGCATATATAGCTTTATCCTCTAATATACTTTTCTATCATGCATGCATATATAGCATTCTCCTCTAATATACTTTTTTATCTTGTACATATAACATTCTCCTCTAATATGCTTTTCTCCCATGCACATATAAGCATTCTCCTCTAATATACTTTTCTATCTTGTACATATAACATTCTCCTCCAATATGCTTTTCTACCATGCATATATAGCATTCTCCTCTAATATACTTTTCTATCTTGTACATATAACATTCTCCTCCAATATGCTTTTCTACCATGCATATATAGCATTCTCCTCTAATATACTTTTCTATCATGCACATATAACATTCTCCTCTAATATACTTTTCTACCATGCATATATAGCATTCTCCTCTGATATACTTTTCTATCGTCCATCTATATCATCCTTCTCTGATATATTTCAACAACATCATCTTGATTATTCAATCTCTGCTTTTCCCGAACTACAGGCTTAACAGTAACTCTGAGTCAATGAAATAATTACCACCACTGTTACGCTTAAAAGACTCACAATACCAATACCGGATTTTACGTAATACATTATCAATGTCGTCAACGTATCAACAAAACACCGTCGTCATTGCTGTGGGCGTGCTGACTCCGACGTCGTGGTTACTGAATCACGTCATTACTTGCCTCCATCTGCAGATATAGGTGGTTGTCACGTGGCTAGTTCATTGTGTATTGTACTCACTAATGCAGCCCTGTGGCATATTGTCACAAGTCATTGTCAACGCACATTGAACGCTAAATTCAAATTCTATAAATCACACTTAATTGTGTCAATATCTGTGTGTTAAATTTCCGCTTGTGTGTGTGTTAAAGAAATAGTTCCGTATCAACAAATCTGAAAGTGTTTGGAAGTCAGGGTGTATTTCTGTGTACACTAATCTTAATGTCAGTATTTGCACGTTTGTGTGTGTGTGTGTGTGGGGGGGGGGGGGGGGGGGGGTCGCCACATGCGTTATGTGCCCCCTCGGTCACGTCACATCACATGTACATCAGTCTCACGTCCAATTTGGGACCATCCCACATAACCCTGCTCTCACTGAATATCAGCCACCCATTTGATGACGCGAAGCCCCAGCCAAATAAGCTGCGGTACCCGCCAATCATATTCCGTTGCGGTGAATCTTCACCGAACCTTCCCGTTTTAGGCATATGCCATTTGCATACAAATGCTCTGTAGCACGGATATTTCTCACCATTCGGTGAATCTGTGACCCCGGGGGCTTTCAAGATCGAAGAAATAAACGGTTTCTATGGTGCTGTGTATGTCTAAATACGCTGTCATCTTTTCATTTGAGAAATTGCCACACATTTGCATGAATAAACTGATTAGTGATGCATTAACTGTCTTGAAAGGACTCTTAAAGAACCTTTCGTCTCCGCGCGAGAATTAACCCAGCGTAGACGGCTCTGATTCGCCGATACTCGCTGCCGCTGTAAATGAGTGGGATCTAGTCCTCGCCTCTCCTTTCGAGGCCCGTATATAAAGAGAACGCGCCACCAATGTTGCATAAGACTGGTGAGAACCGAGAGTGCTGCACGAGGAGTAGGGAACCGTACGGGCGAACAAGAACTCAAGTACCCAAGCCCTTCGAACCATCTGTGAAATTGAGACAACTCTACTTTTGTTTCGTTTCGTGTAAAATACCAACATCTGGTAAGTGCGAGTTTTATCAATTTTGTAAACAGTTTAGTGTTCTTGAGTTAGAACTTCCACCATCAATCCTTGAATTCGTTAGTGTCTTCAGATGTTGCATTCAAAATCAAAGAAACACATTTAACTATAGACTATATTTTGTCCTGTAAGTTAAATTGTTATTTTCAAAGTCGTTGGGGAAGAATTCGAATTAAATTAAATTATTTTCAAAAGAGGTGCCGTATTTAATATTGTGAAATGTGAAATGCAATCATAAAGATTATGTTATCATTATCTTCCACATTAATTCGACCACAGCATGGTAATTGGTAACAGAGTATCCCTTTACACCGGATATTAAATCAAAATACCACTGAAATTTGCATAGACACTGACTAGTTCTACGGAAAAATTTCTTAATTCAGTTTTTATCTTTCTGTATATTTGCATAAAATGTTTAGTATATATCGCTTGCATAAATGGCATATAACTGTATACCCTCCGACATGCGCAATGTTCTACCTATACATTCAAGATATTGTTATATGACATGTTACGAATACAGCTCAAGGTGAAAAAAACCATGAAAACATATTCACCGAAACCTAATAAATATTACTCAAGTCATTTGTCGCGCCTCAAGACTGTACAAAGTCACTTGAGAAATTTGCCTTCAACATTTCTGAAACACCAGCACTGGCAGAGTTAGATTCCGGATTTTAGACCTGTCGTCCACAAGTGTCAAAACATTGTGTGAGTTCTAGACGTTCACGTTAAGCTTTTCACATCTGTCTAATTTGTTTAAAGTCCAAAACTTTGCGTTGCACGAGCGCAAAATAAAATGAGCATATCTGAATTATGAGCGGGATATATTCTAAAACACAGGTGAAATTAAAACAATTATTTATTGATGAAATAAAATTGGCTTGAGGCAATAATCAATCGGTTATATTAAGTTCTTCTAAAGACTTCTAAGTCCAACTTTGAAAATTTCTCCGCGTTCTGAAAACGTTATCGTATATAGCGGGAGGGAGTTGAATGTTCCGCGAGTGGTATTCACGTAGGTTATTTAACAGACACAAATTACAGCTGAAATGTATTTGTATTCAACTAAAGAGAATCAAGTTCGAAAATGGGCCAGGCCAAGTCGGCGAAATTAAAAACTACAGGAAAGTCTACTTTTAGATTGACATCAGGAAAACTGGTAAGGTGTCCCGGTCTAGTCTTTGGTATTACTTATTTAAAGTTACACCGTAGCAATGATCAATATCATGTTTGACCTTTTAAAGTCTAGAAACAGTCGCTGAGATCAGTGACGAAATAAAGAACAAACACTCGTTTTAATGTCTTCGACGTGTGTTTATGGTTCATGTCTTAGTTTCAAGATCGTTGTAACGACTAATGTAGTAATCTAATTCAGTAATAATTCCTATTCCAGATTCGTTAATTGTCTTTTTCTATTTTATTTGCCTATTTATTTATAAGAGCACTGTCTAAGAATCATATCACACCCTTTATGTTCAGCGATAATTTGCTTGAACTTTCTCATTTTCACATCCCTTCTGTTTCTCACCAGCGAGTAGAACTTGAACCTAAAATACATTATTCAACTAAATATATAGATTTCCCATTATACTAGTGTCATCGGAAAACACGACGGGAACAATCTGATATCCTAAAACGTGGCCTTTGCGTAACTTGGCAGTGTTGACAAGGGAAGTTATATAGTCCGACTGGCTGGGATTTTGTCCGTTTGAACTCCCCATCTTCATCCTGTCAGGGCAGTGTACTAAATTAATCAGGGTGGGGTACATTACGTTTTGTCATGTGGGCCCAACTTTCACCATTCAGGGTAAAGCACACATTACGTGTTTCCATATGTCTCTATCAAGTGTGCCATGTACCCAGAATTATTAAGGATGTCGTTTCCTTAAGACAAACATCACTTCAGCACCACCCACACGCCTCCTCACTCACTGATATTTATTTACACTTTTATTGAACATTCTGTGAGTGGTGAGGTCTACCGGGAACAGAATGTGCTTGCCCTTTCAGCGGAACCTGGTGTCACCACTGTTTTTCAGTGATCAATGTATAGAATTTCCATCACTGTTTTGCCTTTTACGCACTATGGAGTCTGTTTCGACAGTGAGTATTGTCGGACGTTGACGTTGTGAATTTATATCGGTATCGACAGCTGCAACAAAATCCGCGCCAGCACCAATACATCAGCTGCACCGTCTTAATACTGAACATACTGGTTTTCACCCTCTTCGACGAAGACGCTCGTAATAAAACTATAAGCAAACACGTATAGACATATTCAAACTGACTAAACAGCTGAGAGTGTCTGACAGGCATTAAGCGTGAAGATATAACCATCAGATAGACACACAGGCAGCTCTTCATTACGGTAGGATAGCACACTGTTGACATATCGTCAATACAACTTCAGTAGGCCAGGAAAAACGTGTTTCTTCCAGCACACTGACAAGGATATGCACCATGCGTCTCTAATCTACATTGCACATAGCACGCATTATTCATATCTACTGGAATAAACAACAGCCGCGGATAAACTCTAACAAAGGACTTTTTAAGTTGTGAAATCTCACTCTGGCGGGTATATATGTTCATCGTACAGGAATAGGGCCGGGATGAGGGGAGGAGTGAGGGAGGGTGATGTTCTAACTCTAGCGGGTATATATTTTCATCATAAAGGAAAAGGCCGGGATGAGGGGAGGAGTGAGGGAGGGTGATGTTCTAACTCTAGCGGGTATATATTTTCATCATAAAGGAATAGGCCGGGATGAGGGGAGGAGTGAGGGTGGGTGATGTTCTAACTCTAGCGGGTATATATGTTCATCATACAGAAATAGGGCCGGGATGAGGGGTGGAGTGAGGGTGGGTGATGTTCTGACTCTAGAGGGTATATATGTTCATCATACAGAAATAGGGCCGGGAGTGGGACGTCTGCACAACAGCGTTGTGATGACTGAGCCAGTAGCCAGTAGCCAGATTCATTATTTAAAAGTAAAAAATAACACTAATTATGCATCCTTTCTAATTTTCATACACACGCGCATACTTCTGTTTTCATATTTTATTAATATTCATTGTTTTCAATTGACTTAATGTAGCGCCTATCGTCAAGTGCCACTGTCATGAGGATAAGTTTTTAAAGATTAATATCTGTTTTCAGCTGAAACTGTTTCGCGAATGTTCTCTGTATGTGATAGACATGTTCACTGAATTCACTGGGGAGGTTGTGTGCGGTGCTTTCAAAATGTCTTCTTCACATATTTTCCTATTATCAAACCAGTCGCCTAAAACTGACGCTCTTGAACCCAAACTCGCCCCCGTGTATAGAATAGGGCTGTGTGTTATAGCAACATTCAAACATTTACAACCGATTGTGCAATCGACCACTGTAAAATAAAAAAACCACAAATTAACAAAATAAAAAGTGAAATGAAGAGCTAGAGTTGATTTCAAAAGGTTAAAATCAATATTCGTAATATCAGTGGATATATCTGTATCATATAACATTAACAGAGAAACAGTGGGGTTTTAAGGTGCCCAATCCATTTCATGAGAATAAAATATGTTTTAATTATTAATAAATAAAATGCAGTGTCCTCATGTTCCTGGCTAGACTTTGTTCAAGTTTTTATGAACCTCAGAATTTATGTGTTGTGTTGTTGAGCCTCAATACCTAGATGAACATAAACGATGTTTGAAATATGTTTGCTATACAAACTAAAACAAATGTCACATATATTTGGGGCGGGGTGAGGGTGGAGGCATGGAAGGATGTTACGTACAATGAGGGAGGAATATAGTTTCAACATATTTTATTCTCATGAAAATTGGGTTTTACCACAACCATGGTATGAACCTCATGGAAATGGGGTATTACCACAACCATGGTATGAACCTCATGGAAATGGGGTATTACCACAACCATGGTATGAACCTCATGGAAATGGGGTATTACCACAACCATGGTATGAACCTCATGGAAATGGGGTATTACCACAACCATGGTATGAACCTCATTGAAATGGGGTATTACCACAACCATGGTATGAACCTCATGGAAATGGGGTATTACCACAACCATGGTATGAACCTTATGGTAATAGGGTATTACCACAACCATGGTATGAACCTTATGGAAATGGGGTTATTACCACAACCATGGTATGAACCTCATGGAAATGGGGTACTACCACAACCATGGTATGAACCTCATTGAAATGGGGTATTACCACAACCATGGTATGAATCTCATTGAAATGGGGTTTTACCACAACCATGGTATGAACCTCATGGAAATGGGGTATTACCACAACCATGGTATGAACCTTATGGTAATAGGGTATTACCACAACCATGGTATGAACCTTATGGAAATGGGGTTATTACCACAACCATGGTATGAACCTCATGGAAATGGGGTATTACCACAACCATGGTATGAACCTGTCTGTGCCTGCTTGTACTGGACCGGACCGATTTTATAGTACTGGCCCACTGAGATATCATACTGCAGTTTAACATGAATACCGCACTCAGACACAGTATATACTGACTCCGGGCCGACCAGTCCTTGTTTAACCTCTTTATGCTGAAAGCCAGGCAGGGTAACAACAAGTACCATATTTTAATGTCTTTTGGTAAGACGCGGCCGGGGATCCAACCACCGACCTTCCGCTCTCCGAGCAGACGTTCAACCACGAGACCACGGAGGTGGGTGTTCATCGTAGCCAGACGGCGTGGGAGTGAATATTGCAGAGTGAAGTGTTAAAGAACAAACATGAAAGTTGAGTTAGACTTGACACGAAAATGTAGCAATGTAAAGCGTACCTTATCATGGCGATTATGAAACAGTACAACTTCGAAATTTACGTAAAACCATGAAAACAGTATTTTACCCAAATGCGGATAGAACTGATTTTTACAAATTTCCAGCTAGCGCCGTATTATAATGTAGCCCATTAAACGTAAGCCTCGTGGGA